CAGGCGGGGGGTGTTGACGGCGGGCTGCCCCCCGGGGCCGGAGCTGACACAGCTGGTGCTTTGGGAGCCGCGGGGCCGGCTGTACTACATGTTTTTTATTATGCATTTATCATATTATAGTGTATTCTGTATTATTGTTGCAATGAATAAAATGTTTCTTTTATTTATATTTTTTTCTTTATTTGTGTCCTCCTTTTCATTGTAAAAAAGTTGGTCACCTTACCTTGCCAACATTTCATTACCCAACCAGGTAACAACATCCTCTATTTATTGTGGATATATGGTGGTCTCAAGTAAGATGTGTTTTAATTATTGTTTGGCTATTTTGTGATTTTTAAACTGGATGTTAGCTGCCCCAAATCACAGGTTGAGTAAGCAGCTATGCAAATTGACTAAATAAGTTCAAGTAGAGGCTAGAAGACATCACGGAATGCTTTAAGAATAGATGAATTTCTGCGGGGAGCAGGGTTCAGCTTAAATGGCTCCTCCTGATACTGAAAGTACTGAGGTTATGTTTTGGATAGTTGTACTTTAGTTATGGACCAGCCCAAGAGACTTCTTGGATGCCATTCATATGCGGAAAAGCACTTAGCATTAGTTGAAACCCATTTAATTTAAAATATTTGCTTTAATAATTTCATTAATTTGTATTTTGATATAATACATCTAAGAAATAATTTGAAAAAAAAACCAGAATTCATTCCAAGGAGTTGAACAATTGCAACCCCCACATCTTAAAAATATCCAGGAAAGGATAATTTTCTGAGGCAGTTCTGCTTTTGAACATCTCTTAACACTAGGAAGTTGTTTATCCTTTTATCCCTGATCAGCTTCCCTGTTTATCCTTTTATCCCTGATCAGCTTCCCTGATCAGGGTCTAGCCCCCTCTTGCCTTCCAAAGAAATAAATAGCAAGTCTACTTCATTCTCTGATAGCAAACATTCATATATCGAAAGAAAGCCATTGTGTCTCCCCTTCATATTTATTTAACCCTTAGTGTTTTCATTGCATTTTTTTATTTGCTTTTTCAGACAGATGATTCCCCTAGTGACTCACATCAATTAGAAGAGACACAGACCTTGCCCTTGGCTCCAGCCTACAGTAAAATAGGAAAGGTACATAAAGAGATGGGCAGAGGAAGAAAAGGGGAAGGAGACTAATTCTCAAGGCTGGAGGGGGTGGGTGGGAATGTGAAATGGAACAAGTCATAATGCTGGCATGTTTTCAAATCCTTCACCATTATAATAATTTTCCTTTAGTTTGTGAAAAGCTGCCATATGTCTTAATTTAAATCTGCCTATCATGGATCTATTGGGGGAAGGGCTATAACCTCTCATCCAGGGCAGAAGTTTTATTTCCTAATTCAAAATGGATTCACATGATAATGTGCACTTTCTTTTTTCCTTGACTAATCAAAGCTTGGTTTCCTGGTATAAAGGCAGTGTGACCCAAAACACAACACTAGCAACAAATACATAAGTGCTGACTGCTTCATCTAGGATCTTCACAATGCTGGTGACTCCAGCCCCCCAAATTCTCAGTCTGCATGGCCATTTCTGAGTTGGAGGAGAGTGGCATAATAGCATATAATAATAATAATAATAATAATAATAATAATAATAATAATAATAATAATAATAATAATAATAATAATAATAAAGTTGGAAGGGACCTTGGAGGTCATCTAGTCCAACCCCTGCTCAGGCAGGAAACCCTATACCATTTCGGACAAATGGCTGTCCAGTTTCTTCTTAAAAACTTCCAGTGTTGGCACATTCACCGCTTCTGGAGGCAGGTTGTTCCACTGGTTAATTGTTCTAACTGTCAGGAAATTTCTCCTTAGTTCTAGGTTGCTTCTCTCTTTGGTTAGCTTCCACCCGTTGCTCCTTGTCCTGCCTTCAGGCGCTTTGGAAAATAGCTTGGCTCCCTCTTCTTTGTGGCAGCCCCTGAGATATTGGAACACTGCTATCATGTTCTCCCTCTTCGTTAAACTAGACATACCCAATTCCAGCAACCGTTCCTTATATGTTTTAGCCTCCACTCCCCTAATCATCTTTGTTGCTCTTCTCTGTACTCTTTCTAGAGTCTCAGCATCTTTTTTACGTGGTGACCAAANAGGACTCCGAGATCCCTCTCACAGTTACTACTATTGAGCAAGGTACCCCCTATACTATACCTGTACATTTGGTTTTTCTTGCCTAAATGTAGAACCTTACTTTTTTCACCATTGAATTTCATTTTGTTAGATAGCGCCCAGTGTTCAAGTCTGTCCAGATCCTCCTGTATCCTAAGCCTGTCTTCTGGAGTGTTGGCTAACTAACCAAGGAGAGAAGCAACCTAGAACCAAGTAGAAATTTCCTAACAGAGCAATCAACCAATGGAATAACTTGCCTTCATGAAAAACATAGCCGGATAAGTGACATTATAGTTAAGCAACACGTGAATCTACTCTTTCCGATTCTTAGAACTTTCCAGGCCTGTTTTAAACCCTCAGGTTCAAACCGAGAGTTCATTAAACGATGGCAAGGCCCTTTGCCGAAGGTGCCCAGGTTATCTTTCTATAAAGTTTAGTGGAGATTAGGACGGTGGAGCTTTGAGCATCTTAATATATGAACGCATGGCGGGGAAAAAGCAGGAGTGGCCCCAGGGAAGCTGCGGGTCCTTCCTGCTAGGATGTTGGCCCAGAGCACAAAGGGTTAGTTCTCCAAGGGGCCGAGAGAAAAAGGGTGGGATTTGGGCAGCTGTGCCGGCTTTCCTTTCCCAGGCTCTCCAGTACCGAAGCAGAGCGTGGGAGAGGCCGAGGAAACGGGCCGGCAGGGGTGGGGTTGCCTCGGCTGTCGGCTCAGCAGCCTGTGCTTTGGCGCTGGGCGCTTGCGCCTGCGAGGAGAACCGCCGCCACCGCCGCCGCCGCCGCCGCCGGAGAACAGAGGCCGTGCGGTTCCTGGAGCGATCCTTTTTCGCGGGCCGGGGAGATCCGATGTCCAAGCCTGGCAAAGGGCCACCGAATCACCCGAGGAGAGCGGGCGAGGTCCGACGGCAAGCTCGCCCAATCCGCCCCGCTTTTGCGCCCTCAGAGCGAGCCTGGAAGCGATTGCAACTCGGGCTGTGAGGGCTGGGAAAGAAAAGGCATCTTCCTCTTTCGCCAGGTTCCTGGTTAGGAGATCCAGAGAGATGCCTCTTGGCTTGAATCTTCTCCCGCTCCAGAGCTTCTTGGGTGCAGAAGTCCGGCAATTCCCGACCCTCCACCATCAGCCATTGGAAGATTCTCCGTCTTGGCTTGTGCTGTGTGGCGTTTTTCGGAGGGCCAGAGGGAAGTCAGCTCTCGGCCCTCTGTAGCTGAGCGTTTTGACACGTGTGGGGTGTTCGTTTGGCACTTTTTTTGAGTTCCTTCCATCCCCACCACCGCCACCCTCGGTCTCCTTGATCGTTCGCGAAGAGGCCTTGCTTTGCTCCTCCTTTTTCTTTGCCTGCAGCTCAGGGAGGGGACCTTTGGAAAAAAAAAAATCTCTCCCTTTTGTGCAGGGACACACACAAACTCTCAGACACAGCAGCAGGAACGTGGGTCGTCCAGTGGCAGAAATAACCGCACACCTTAGGGGAGAGCAAGAAAGAGAAAGCTGATCCTAGATCCCAGGTCCCAAACCTGAAATACAGATGGATCCAGAGGCTCTATGTAAGATGGATGAATAGAGAAGACTGAGAAAGGGGCATAGCTGAGCTGGACCTTTCTGCTGAAAAGAAAACGGGGCTCTTCTGAAAAGATGGTGGCTTTATTTGGGCTGGGTTGCTGCTGAAAAGGCTTCATTTTCCCCTTTGTCAAGCTCTCCATCTCAAAGTGCCAGTCAGGAAGAGGATGTAAGAAGACTCTTGGAAGAGTTGGTACCCACCTTTGTCACTCCCTCTCTGTATGGGAGAAAGCTGAATATCACACATAAGCTTAGACGACATTTCAATGGGGCCTCATCCAAAGATTTCAACCAACTTACTTCTGCGGACACCACTGAGAAAACTGGTAAGAAGGGAGAGCAGTTTTCTGTGAATATGAAACTGAGCAGGTAGATACTGGACTTGATGGAAGAACTGAGGAAGATTGTGGGAGGGTGGCCAACTTACTACCATTCCTTCTACTTTACCTTTCCTTATGGATTCATCACGCTTTTCTGATCAGATCTGGATAATTGCTGTAAATTAGCAGGAGGGAATTAATCCAAGATTTGCCCCCAAATTTTCTTTTTCTGTATTTATCAAGTGAATTTGCCCAGGCAAGGGTTAAATCAGGTTGGGTCAACTATGGTTCAGTATGCTGTGAAACCAGGACATTATATGAGCCATAATGTAGCTTGTTTGAGCACTGCCTGTAAATACTCTGAATATATAGCCATTGAGTTTTGTTAACCCAGATGAAACACTGTGTGAACACGATTACTGATTTAGGGGCGCAGGCATGAAACAAACTAGAAAGAAGAAAAGCAAATATATAACAATTGGTTGGAGAATTAACTTTGCTCTATCTTCCTATATTTTTAGAAGCCAGTTGCTTTGATGCCTAAAATTATGAAAACCAAACTATCTAAGCTTTTTAATAGAATGCTTCTGAAACTTAGTCATATAATATAATTACTTGTGTTCGCAAAATGTTAATTTTTAATATATTCTTACTACAAGTGTCAAAGGGAAATGGGAGTGACAGCTGAGAGTGATGATTTGTAGAGCTGGATGTTGGTAAAGATTCAACCCATGTTATAGTAGGTCAGACTTGAAGTGAAAAGAGTCTGTCTTTTTTTCCCTGCTAATATATTTCTCTCTCAGTCAGGGGCTGTCATGTGTTGGGAAGATGACATCTTGAAAGTTGACACTGGAAGAAGGCACTGAATACCTGCTCCTAAAGCTTCCATGCCTTCCAGATTACTGGAAGCTGAACTGTCGCTGAGGTAACTTTTGGCTTACAGGCAGATTCTCTTCACAAAGTTTATAAAGATTGGGTGGTGGAAACCAGCAGGATGCCTCGGAATAGGGCATTCTCTGAGCCTGAATACTCAGTAGAGTATTCTGCAGACTATTCAGTCAGCTTGCCTTCTGACCCGGAGCATGGGGTCGGCCGGACCCATGAGGTGACGGTGAGGAACTCAGGTTCTTGCCTCTGTCTGCCCCGTTTTATGCGACTCACGTTCGCCCCTGAGTCCTTGGAGAACCTCTACCAGACCTACTTCCGGAGGCAGCGTCATGAGACTTTGCTGGTCCTGGTGGTCTTTGCAGCCCTCTTTGATTGCTACGTTATCATCATGTGCACAGTGGTGTACACTTCAGAGAAGCTGGCACCTACTGTGGCAGCGTCAGTGGGCCTGGCTGCCCAGATCCTCCTCTTTATCCTATGCAAGTATGAACTCCTGCCTGATCGTGTCACCCGGAAATTCATGCCATACATTCTGTGGATACTGATAGCTGCTCAGATATTCTGCTACTTGGGCTTGAATTTTGCCTGCTACCACGAGGCCAGTGACACAGTTGGATGGCAGGCCTTTTTTGTCTTCTCCTTCTTCCTCACCCTCCCCTTGCATCTGATGCCCATTGTCCTTATCTCAGCCATTTCTTGTGGCATCCACACGCTTGTGTTAGGAGTCACCATTGCACAGCAGAAGCAGCAACAGCTGGAGTCCATCTATGGAATCGTCTTGCTGTGGCAGGTAAAAATGATGTGTTGGTGAAAAGGAAGCCTGTGAATGAGTTCAAAGGTGCATATCTTCTTCTAGGCTGAAAGCTTCCCTTGGCTATTGAGCAGATTGATGGGAGCCACACTCCCAGTGGGAGAGGTAGGACAGAAACTCACCTTGACTTAATTTTGCTTAATGCTGACATTTCATGACAATAAGTCAATTGGTTACTTTCCAGTTATATATTTATTAATATTCCTGTTCTTTCATGCTAAAATTACAAGATGGTAACAATTTTTGGAATCCTTTGGGGAATCACTTCCAAAACTTTTGTGGCCTAATGGAAAGGAAGTTAATGGAAAGGAAGGAGAAAAGGGGACCTTTTGATTTTGGATGAAGGATAGTGAGCTTGTGGGGGCAGATTAGTGCTGCAGATAAAATGAATCTATAGAACTCGTTCATATATGTGGAATTCCAAGCCTAACATGATTTATATAATTTGAATTTCTAGAATCTCAGCCCCCATTTCAGAAAACAAGCAAATGGTACAATGGGTTTCAAGATCTTATGACTTTGAACACAGTTCATTGGCATTGCTGTGTAAGGTGTTGCGACTCTGCATGACTAACTGGCCCTTTCTTGCACTGATTTCTATTCCACCAGACATAGTAATCCTTAAAGTTTTTCCCTCGCCACACTGCTGCTGAAAAAAATACAGTTTGAGACACAGAAAATCTAACTAGCAAGTCCAAAATAAAGCTTGTTATACAGATCTATCGTAAATAATTTAATTTTTTAAAAGATAATGTGCATTTAAAATGTTTCAAAAGTTGAAATCCAAAAAGCATTTAGGTTTCACAGTCTGAATTTTATTTGGAGGGGCAGGGTGCCGAAACAGAATAATCCTGTAAACAGTATTATTTTGTAATACTACAAATATTCCAAAGATGCTTCAGTTGAAGTGAAGAAGCTTCTTGGATAAGAAGCAAAATGTTTTCACAAAAAAAACCCCAACCAAAATCCAAGAAACTCCTTTGGGACAACCATGACCTGAATGATTGAGAATCTCCGTAGACAATGCTACAGATAATTTAAAGTTGATTTCATTTGAAGAAAAGCAGACATCTTCTCTTGTAAGAGTAATCTTCCTAAAGAGAGTGCTACCAGTTGCGTTTGTCATCAGGGATTGTCATGCCTAGACAAATGATGTGACTCTGTGGGCAGCCATAATTTTCAGTGAAGCTGAACTGATCTTATTTCCACTCTATTCCAGTTTATCAGCATCTTAACTTAGTCTAAATACAATATGCAGTTTTGTTATTGGGTATAATGCTGTAATCTAAGATAATGGTCAGAAGAAGTAGAGTGGAACCAAACACTGATTAGACTCTTTACTGAAAGTACCTTCCTGCTGCAGAGATTTTTTTTTTTTTTACTGAGTGGGGAACCAGTTGATCGCTAAGACCTTAAGTAAGAGAAGGAGATAGAGGCAGGAGCTCGGAAGGGGAAAAAGAGATTGGGGGGGGGGGCGGGTAGGAGAGAAGAGATCCAACATATACAAAGGCTTTCTGAAATACAGAGTTAGCCCTGCTTGTAACCCAGTTGAATGAGTTGTGAATCATCTTATAAATAAAAGCAAATGTTGGATTTAGGTGTATGGTCATCTGATTTTCCTATGACTTATCTTGGGATGGAACAAATTCCTCCCATATCCTGTTTTTTCTGGTGCTTCTAGATTGGTCCCACATAGTGCAACTGACTTAGTGCCTATGTGAATACAGTCACTGTGGTTTCTAAATCATGGTTTATGGCAGGGCTTTTCAACCAGTGGTACGGGTACCACCTGTGGTACATTGGCACCTGGCAGGTGGTACACGACCATCCTAGAAAAGTAGCAGGGGAGGGGAATGAGCTGAACCGGTGGCAGCACCGCACAAGCCTGAGTGAGAGATGGCTGGAGCTGCAGGGCTGTCAGGGCTTAGCGGAAGCACCAGGATCAGCGCCAGGCTCCAGCTGGAGCTCGGCACTGATCCTGGTGCTTCTGCTGAGCCCAGAAGAAGCACCAATCAGCTGGAAAGCAGCACTGATCCTGGCACTTCTGCTGAGCCAAGAAGAAGCACCAATCAGCTGGAATGTTGCAGCATCTCCAGGGTCTTGTGATTTACATTCAGATGCTTGGCAACTGATTCATATTTATGACGGTCACAGTGTCCCAGGGTCACGTGAAGTGACCAAAACCTGCTGCAACCACCCAGCAGACGGGGGGAATAAAAACCAAACACCCCCCCACCCCACCCCCACTGCCAATCCTCAATAGAAATGCTCACAACAATGAAAACCTCGGACAGGAGGAAGAGCGCCGCCGGGGGGCAGGCAGGTGTCTTGCTCGGCTGTGGCTTGGGGGGCACTTTTTTCAGTGCCATTGTAACTTCGAACAGTCACTAAGCGAACTGTTGTAAGTCGAGGATTACCTGTACTTTATCACTTTTTTCCTTTTTTTTTTTGGTCATGAAGTTTTTGACCCCTTGCTAGGTGACTGGTAGTACTTGGATGTTGCCGTATCCTAAAAGTGGCACAATGGGTGAAAAGGTTGAAAAGCCCTGGTTTATGGCATAGCATGGTATGGTATTGACCTATTCACCAAATGAACCATGGCTTAGCATGCTTATTTGGTTTGCTTGCTTTTGTTAGGACTGGCTCAATTGCAATTGCTCGGCATACTTATAGTTTGAAAGTCAGTGGGAGCCTTGCTGTACGTGCTGCAAATCAGACTCTAGGATAGCTTTCCCATTCTGAAATCTGAGCTTTCTGACTGCAGTTCTCCTCATGGTAAGCAGCATGTCCAAATGGCTGGATTTCTGGGACTTGCAGTCTACAGTTGGGGAAAGCTGATCTTTTATTTATGGATAGTTTTATCAAAAGTATTTTTGACTGGGGATTGCCCAGTTTTGCGCTGAATTTGGGTATCCCTGCTGTTTTCAAAAAAGTCCTGGAAAGCAGAGCTGTACAAATTCACAAAAACAAAATGTGGGTTTAACCATCTGTCTCTTTCCCCATTGCCTATGCAAATCAGTTTAAATGGCTAAAACTATTTCTGAGATCATTCAAATTTAGTCATGTGACAAGGCTGAAAAAGTACAAAAGACTATGCTTCCTGACTTTGTCCTGGTTCGAAAATTTGAAAATTACATGTTCATATAAAATATTTCACATCCAGAAGTTGGAAACGGAATATGAAGACATGCAAGTGGCAATGAAAATAGAAGAACGCTGCATGAAGAGTGATCATCAATTTGAAGTCCTCTGAATGCAGTGAGCCACAATTCCCCAAACGTCCGGCCAGTAGATCCTGCTGGAAAGTAAGGCAGTTGATCCAACACATTTGAAATTGAGGAAGGCTGATTATGAGTTGTTAGTAAATCAGCTACCAAGTGTGAATGGCTGAATTAGTAGATTTGTGGTAGGGTCCAGGGTCCTGTTAGAAATTCAGCTAGGCATGAGCACTTGTCTCAGGAGAGGTTATGATGGAGCAATATTGCGAAATAACAATCTTATAAAATTGACTTAATAAAAAAAGGAATCTTACAAATTAAATGGACTCTTTTGATGATACCTGTAAAAGCAGGCTTGTGCATATTCAATACCTTGAACAGTATTTTGCATTATATGATACCCCAGATGAACAAATATACATACACATATACCCCTTACAAAACACTGTCATTGGACATACTGAAAGCATCCATGTTCCAGATTTGCTGAAATTCTGGCTCTGCTACAGGGAGGTTTATATGTTAGCCCTCAGTGACTTTGTTTATATTTTGTTTGTTTATTTGAATTTAGTAGCCAATGAACTCCAATAGACTCTGGGCAGTGTACAAAACTAGAAAACTATTAAAAATACATCACAACATTAAACCAAATTGACAGCCCAGACTAAAATAATTTTATAGACAACAAAAATTGGCTCTAGGCCAGGGGTCTTCAGACTTGGTCCTTTCATGACTTGTGGACTTCAACTCCCAGAATTCCTCAGCCAGCATGCCTGGCTGAGGAATTCTGGGAGTTGAAGTCCACAAGTCATAAAAGGGCCAAGTTTGAAGACCCCTGCTCTAGGCAAACAATAATACATGAGCTTCAGGTTTTCAGAGTTTTCCAGAATCCTAGAAGAGAAGATGCCGCCCTTCTCTGGTGGGATGCTGTTGCAAAGGGGTCGCAACAGAGAGGACATGCTACTTCAATCCCACAAGATGACAAATGGAGCAGGACAGGACAGAACATCATCAGATTTGGAAGGGACTTTGGAGGTCTTCTAGTCCAACTCCCTTCTCAAGCAGGAGAGCCTATACCATTTCAGACAAATGTTTGTCCAGTCTTTTCTTAAAAACTTCCAGTGATGGAGCACCCACAACTTTTGAAGGCAAGCTGTTCCGCTGGTTGATTGTTTTCACTGTCAGGAAATTTCTCCTTAGCACACCTACTCTGCTGAAACATATTGGTTTGGGCAGGCAGAAATGACTGGAGACAAGTGGGATAAGGCCCTGTGTCAGACAGGGCTTTATAGGTATTACCAGCACTTTGAATGTTATTCAGAAGCTGCGTGGAACCAAAACAGCTTGTTTCGTCACCCATCAAATTATGCCATGCTTTTAATTCATGGAGTGGAGCAGCTGATTTACTTCCTTTCACTGCTGTTTACAAGGTACATTGGCCAATTGAGGCAGGTTGGGTGAACTTAGCTCTTCATCAAGGTGGAACACTTTGCACTTATGGGCTGTTTTGCTGCCTCAGTGGAGTGGAGTGTGTCTCAGTGAGAGAAAAGATCTCCTTAAAAGCAGTTTTCCCACACTCCACACTTCGTCAATAGCTACAGTTGCCATTGTTGTTACATACATTTCAAACAAGGGCCGAAACAAAAATGCCACACACAAGAAAAAAATGCTATGAGCAATGGGAGAATTTGAAACTCTTTTTTCATTACAGAAGTCAACTATTGTTCAGGTAGCTCTGATGCTATGTGATAATCCCTGAAA